GTAAAACGAATTTCGAGGGCCACTCAGAAAAAGGTGAACTGTTAAGCATATGAACGGCCTCGGGATTCTATCCATTAAGTGGTAAAGGATGCTGCTGATTGGAGTGAACCAAGTCTTCTGCAACCATATTTCTGACCAAAATAGTTCAAAGAGGGCACAGACCGATGGAAACCAAAGGTGCGCCTCTGCTCAGACCCACTCCACAAAGGGCAGTCCCCTGGCACACTGGTCAAAAGGTAGCCTCAGGCTCTTTCAAAACACACTTTAATCACCAATCACCTTGGGAACACAATATCCTCTCCCATTTGTCTTTGGGCCTTGTTACAAGATGGATTCTTTTTTGGATTACCAGGATGTTTAAATTAAAACCTCTTTCCAAGGGGGTATCTTAGCTCATTGATTGAAGGTCTTTTTTTTTTTTTTTTTGAGTCACAGTCTCACGGTCACCATCGCCTCCACCTGCTGGGCCCAGGGGATCCTTCTACCTCAACCTTCCAAGTAGCTGGAACTACAGGCGCGAGCCAACATGCCCAGCTATTTTTTTATTTATTTATTGTAGAGACGAGGTCTCTCCAAGTCGCCCAGGCGGATCTTGAACCCCTGGGCTGAGGCAATCCTCTCACCTCTGCCTCCCAAAGTGCTGGGATTACAGGCGTGAGCCACCGTGTCTGGTTGATTGAAGGTCATCAGAAACAGGCAGAAATATTGTGAAACTCCAGAGCAGTGCTGGTCCACAGGAAATGCGAGCTACGTAGGAGGTTTTAAATGTTCCAGTAGCCACATTAAATAAGCAAAAATAAACAGGTGAAATTAATTTTAATAATATATTATTAACTCAATATTCAAAATAACATCACTTCAACATGTGATCCATATACATTTTTATTGTTATTGTTTAGCAGTAGGGTCTTGCTCTGTTGCCCAGGCTCGAGTGAAGTGGCATGATCTCAGCTCACTGCAGCCTCAAACTCCCAGGCTCAAGAGATCTTCTTGCCTCAGACTCCTGAGTAGCTGGGACTACAGGTGCACCACCACTCCAGCTAGTTTATTTTAATTTTTGGTAGAGATGAGGTGGGGGGGCGTAAGGGGTGAGAGTGGGAGGGGTAAATGGGGCAGGGGGCGGGGTGTCTTCCTATGTTGCCCAGGCTGGTCTCCAACTCCTAGTTTCATGCAATTCTCCCGTCTTGGCTCCCAAAGTTCTGGGATTACAGATAAGAATCATCACACTGGGCCTCAATATGAAAATTATTAATGAGAAAAAAACAGGCAGGAAACGATGGCAGAAAGGGAGAGATGAGAGGGAAAGAAAGCAAGAGGGTGGGAAGGGTGGGAGAACGTTGTTCAGAAACTGCATGGCACAGATATATCTCCCCTGAGAATGAACACTCTCCTCTTGCAAACACTGCTCTCATGGATCCAGAGCTCCAGAAATGCGTAAGCACACACAGCTACACACACGCCTCATGAAATAGTGTAGAGAATCTCTCGGCTCTTCATTGTGGTGCTCCTTTGAGGCGTCAGGCATTATGCCATTGCTCTTGGTTACTACCGAGGCTCAAACTCCCTTTTTGCCTACCAAGGTCCAGTCTCCACCGCTGACCTTCCTAATCGCCTCTGCGCAGTTGTCTTCTGGCCCCGAGGTTGTAGCTTCCTCCAGCTTCCTCGCCTGGTTAATAACTCCACCTCCACCCTGTCTCCCATCCACCTCTTCATTATACTGCCTAATGGTGTTTTCTAGTCCTTACCTCCTTGGCTTTTCTGCAGCACTGAGTCATTCTGTAATTCACGTGTGTTTGTCAAGAGCTTGCTATGTGCCATCCTGGGTGAGGTCTTAGGAATACCAAGACAAAGAAGGCCTTGGAGTCTTCTCTTCCTGTGGCTTCCTTCCCATGACATCATCTTTCTCTCTTAAACATTCCATTGTTTCTTCTACCAAAACCCCCCACAACCAGAAATTTTCTTCACAGGCCAGAGAGAACCCATCAGCCAGTTGTGTCATTGGTTTGTTTATTTGTTTTTTTTGTCAGGGTCTCACTCTGTCACCCAGGCTGGAGCACCATCACGGCTCACATCTGCTTCTACCTCCTAGGCTCTGGCAATCCTTCCACTTCAGCCTCCTAGTGGCTGGGATGACAGGCACACACCACCATGCCTGGCTAACTTTTTGATGTCTGTAGAGACAAGATCTCGCTATGTTGCCTAGCCTGGTCTCAAACGCTCGGGCTCAGGCAATCCTCCCGCCTTGGCCTCCCAAAGTGTTGGGATTACAGGCATGCGCCGCCACACCCGGCCTTGTTGCTTCCTTTAAAACTCATGTCAGCTCTACCCACCGTATTCCCACCCTCCACCATCTCCTCTGCTTCCATCCACAGCCCAACCACCGCGACCTCTTCCCGGGACTAGCGCCGTGCCCCGCAGGCAGGTCCTCTACTCCACGCTTATTCTCTGCAGTCCACAGCAGGCAAGGTGCTTCATTCACAAGGCCAGGCAGATCATGCCAGTCTCCTCAGAGCCTCCAGTGAGGTCTCCAACCAGCCGAGCGTAAACTCCAAGACCCTTACAGAGGCCTGCAAGGCTACGGCTGAAGGGCTGCCTTCTGTGTCCCGGCTCCTGCCGGATTCTCAGCCCTCCTGAAAGACTTCCTGGTACTCAGGCCCCCCCGGACCTCGCCCGGCCCTGCAGCCGTTTCCCAGACACCCTGAGTTCAACTCGACCTGCGCACATCAGCGCCTGTCTGGAATGCTCCTCCTCCAGGTCTCTCTCTGACGGCCTCTTCTTCTCAGGTTTCTTTTCAAGCATCACCTCCTGGGAGGCTCGTCATTCAATCAAAAAGTGTTTTCCCACCCCTACTTCCTTTCCTGCACCCCCCACCTCATCTCTGTCTAGCTCTTACTCTGTATTTATTTATTTATTTTTGAGTCAGGGTGCCACTCTGTGGCCCAGGCTGGAGTGCGGTGGCATGGTCGCAGCTCACCGCAGCCTCGACCTCCTGGGCTTAGGTGATCCTCCGCCTTGACTTCCTGAGCAGCTGGGGCTACGGACGTGTGCCACCACCCCTGGCTAATTTTTTTTTTTTTTTTGGTAGAGACAAGGTCTCCCTTTGTAGCCCAAGTTGGTTCTGCTTTATTTTCTTCATGGCACTATTTAAAACCATCCTGCTTCTTTGTGTGCTTGTTTGCCTGTCGTGTGTATTGTCTGAGACTAGAATGTAGGCTCCCAGAGGGCAAGGCCTTCATCTATCCTGGGACGTGGAGGAACGCAGTGTACCTGGGAAGAGCTCCTGCATGCAGACTCCCCTCCCCCTCCTACCACCTGAGTGCGGGGCATGGGGTCCACAAAGGGTCATCCTTGGGAACCTTTCCACATGTTCTCAGGAACCTCTGTTTCCACGGCAGCGTTTGCCAAAGTGTGATGAGCACAACAGCTGCCTCCAAATCCGGGATGATGCTTATCAATGCAGATTCCGGGGCCCAACACTGGATCTGACTAAATCTTTATACAACGTGGAGGCTGACACTTGCAACTAAGTAAGCTCTCAGGTAGTTCTTGCGCTTGATAAGCTTGAGACCCACTCTTCTTAGATTTCAGGAATGACCTTTACTGATTGCCAAATCTGTGTCTCCGCCTCGTTTCCAAGGGACCCCCGAGGGTTGGTGACTCAGCTGCCTCCGCATCTCTCACACCTGTGTGTTCCACATCTATGTGCTCCGTTCACACCTGCAGCCTCTCGCCTGGCTCAGGCATCACAGGTTTATCTGAATTGCTACCGTCGCCACTGAGCTAGTATCTGTCGGTTCTCTAAACCACACCACGAACCCATGCCAATTTTCCTTCCTAAAACCATCTGTGGTTGTCCATTCCTTCACTTCTGAGATGCTACCTCTCCAATATTCACAATAGCAAAAACATGGAACCCACCCTACTGCCCATTGAAAGTGGACTGAATAAAGAAAATGTGGTACACAGACACGAAGGAATATTATGCAGCCCTAAAGAAGGACAAAATCATGGACTTTGCAGCAAATTGGATGCACTTGGAGGCCATCACACTTAGTGATCTATCACAGAAACGAAGAACTGAATATCACATGTTCTCACTCATAAGTGAGACTTGAACACTCGTCACAATAGCACAAGGGAGGGATCGGCAGTCACGGGGCACTGCCGGCATAGGAGAGGGTGGCATGTAACAACACCAAGGACACCAGGTCCTAAACCAGAAAAAGTGATGGGCAGACAGGGGCCCAAACTTCACTTGCACGTAGATTACTTATGTACCCAGTTCTGACTTGTACCTCACATCTCTATAATTAAAAAAATAAAATAAAAATCAAGTTATGTGCCAGTTTCTCCAGAAACTTCTCTTGTCTCAGACAAAGGTGGTCCCTCCCTTCTTTGATGCCCAAGGAGCTCTGTCATCTCTTAAGTCATTTAGTAATTTGCCCTTTAGTACAGTTATTTATGTATCTGTCTTATTTCTTCAAATTCCTAAGTTCCATGAATTCAGGAAATGTGACTTATTCATCTTTGTATATTCCAAAGCACTTAGCTCGATGACAGGTACTCAATAAATGTTTGTTGAATGAATGATTGAGCTCATGTTTGGTTCAAAATATACTTTATCATTCTATATTTTTGCTCTTCCCGTGGTTAAAAAGGAAACCCACAGATATCAATTTAGTTCATTCATTTCTGCTCCAAGAAACACACGGACAGCCAAGCACTGATATCCATTTGTGATAATGATCAATTTAGATATTATGTTGAATCACAAAAACAGATTTATTATAATCAAGGAAGAGAAAACCGTTTGCTAATGATAACAAATAGCAAAAAAACCTCTGAGTCTTCAATCATGGTCACAAAACAGGATTCTAAGTGAATGCAAAGAGGCTTTGTGAATATTCAATTTGTAGCATAATTGAAACATGGGAATGGGGAGACTTGACTCTCAGTGCTTCACCCTTCAAAGTAACTTTTCCTTGTTCCTCTGTTTGCAGCCATTTGGCCTTCTCTCGTGTCAACATACGTCTTAGAGAACTGTGAGTGGCTGAGACCACCTGCCCTGGCCCCTGACCACAACTATCCTTTACTGTTGGGCTTGAGGAGGTATGTACCTGGCATCACAGCTGGGAATGTGAATTTTCTCCCCCAAGAAAATGATGCTATCAATGAGTCTAAATATATCAAATAAAAATTTTAATAATCCTTTTCTGTGATTTATTTGTTTAGGAAGGTGATCTGTCTACACTGCCCAGGCTGGAGTGCAGTGGTTATTCACAGCACTCAGCATAGGAGTTTTGACCTGTTCTGCTTCTGATCTGGGTGGGTTCGCCCCTCCTTAGCCAACCTGGTGGTGGGACCTTCCGCCCGAGAGGTCCTCATATTGATGCAGACACCCAGTAGGCATCGCACACTACAGCCCAGAACTCCTGGGTTCAAATGATCTCCCATCTCAGTCTCCTAAGTAGCTGGGACTACAGGTGTGTGCCTCCATACCTGGCTTAAAAGTTCTTTTATTTTTAGGGTTAAACAGGCCCTTGGGATCTGGCCTGGTAACCTAACCATATAACTTGGATGGTTTGTGCAAATACATTTTGCCTTCCTGCCAACAGATGAACTTTTGAAACACCCTCTTTCTGGACATACTTAGCAACTGGAAACTTGCTTCCTTTCTTCACTCAGTCCTACTGACTTTGCAGAATGGTTCTTGATCCTGTGGCTTCTGTTCCAGGAATATAGATGAGGTCAAAAGTAGACACACCATTTGCTGAATTACACTTGAAAGTGACTTCTTAGAAAGTCAGAAAAATAGCATAAACTTGAAACTGTACATATAATAATGCATTTAAGATAATTTTTGAAATTTTCTCTCTGAGATTTGTTGCCATGAAGTTTTGTTCATCTGGGCCAAGACAGCTTACTACTCACACAACTCACCTGAAACCAGCGCTGCTGCTCTCATCTGCCGAGAAGTCATAAACTCACAGGGTGGAAAAGCCCTCGGAGATCATCTGGTTCAATGCCCTTGTTTTGCCTACATGCTCAATGAAATTGCTTCAGTTGTATCTTTGTCATAAATTCTATGTGCCACAAATGTTCTGGATGCTTCCTATGGGTTACAGATGTAGCCTATAGGGTTCTATATTGAACCAGCTTTGCTTATAAAATTGCAGGGAGAATTAATGCATGGTGTCTCTGTGGATAATGCAAGACAGAAAAAAAAAATGTCAGAATCCATTTTACAAAGTGATATTTTGGAAATAAAAGACCACGGACTCAAAATTTTAAATTAAGACTTTGCATGCAGAAGGAATACATGAAAGAAATACTCATTTAAATGCAGGAAGAACAAATGAGTTGACGGTGACTTACTTGGCAGACTCCTTGGTACTTTGGAGACACATTCGGTCTTACATCTAACTTGTTTGAAAACTAGTGTAGTAACTTGAGCAAATAGAGCTTCTTTATGAGAAATGTCTTTCCCTGTGGTTAGAGATCTCTTTGTCCAAAATCCTTGGGTCTTTTTTTTTAATGATTGGATTTTTTTTTTTTTTTTTTTTTTAGAGTCAGAGTCTCACTCTGTCACCCAGGCTGGAGTGCAGTGGCATGATCATGGTCACAGCCTTGACCTGCTGGGCTCAGGCGATCCTCCTGCCTCAGCCTTCCAAGTAGCTGGACCCACAGGCGTGCACCTGAATAATCTGTTTTTTTGTTTTTGTTTTGTTTTTGAGTCAGAGAATCACTCCGTCACCCAGGCTGGAGTGCAGTGGCATGCTCACGGTCACCCCAGCCTTGACCTATTGGGCCCTGGCAATTCTTCCACCTCAACCTTCTAAGTAACTGGAACCATAGGCGTGTGCTACAACACCCGGCTAATTTTTTTGATTTATTATAGAGATGAAGTCTTGCCAAGTTGCCCGGGCTATTCTCAAACCCGTGGGCTCAGGCAATCCTTTCACTTCAGCCTCCCTAAGTGCTGGGATAACAGGTGTGAGCCGCTGTGCCTGGCTGATTTGTGGCACAGGAAAGCTGCGAGCAGGGGCCCTTGGCAACACAGAAGAGTTGTTCGGGGGATATTGTGATACAAGAGGATTAACAAATACTTCTGACTAGAAAAGGACGAGTGGAGTCTTCATCAGGTAGTGGAGAAGATGAGGAAATGGGGGAAGATGACAGAAAAGCAATGGGTACAGAGAGAAAGAAAACTATTGGTTGAGCGTGGTGGCTCAGTCCTGTAATCCCAGCACATTGGGAGGCCAAGGCGAGGGAATTGCTTGAGCCCAGGAGTTTGAGACCAGCCTAAACAACACAGTGAGACCCTGTCTCTGTAAAAATCAATTAACCAGCTGGGCTTGGTGGTGCATGTCTGTAGTCCCAGCTACTCGGGAGGCTGAGGTGGAAGGATCGCCTGAACCCAGAAGGTCGAGGCATGGTGACTGTGATTGTGCCACTGCACTCCAGCCTGGGCAACAGAGTGAGATTCCGACTAAAAAAAAAAAAAAAAAAAAAAAACTATTGAAAACCAGAATGATAAAATAGCACATGGATCAAATGCATCAATTTGCTCTTTAGCAAGATCAGTTCCACCATCACCTAAATTATGTACTGAGATTCCTTGTAACATTGTGTTTTCAAAAAGAGTTGCACTAAAGGGTATTCACAAAGGCTTGAAAACCGTTGATCTATTTCAATTCTCTTGATTTACATCAATTAACAGATGTTCATTAAGCACCGCTACATTTTGTGACTTATGCTGGTTTCAAGGGATATTAAGACGAATAAGACATACTTTCTGCTGTTCAGAACTTTATCATCTTGTGGGAAAGACAGACTCATTAATCACCACAAGAGAGATGATAAGAACTGTGGGAACACAGATGAAGGAACAATTAATTCAGCTTGAGAGAGCCAGATAAAGATATAAAAAGACAACCCTTGAGTTGGACCTTTAAACATGTTAGAAGTTTGTCAGGTGGGCACACAGGGTAAGAGCACTCAAGGGCAGATATATGCCTGGCGTGGCTGGGGCTAGATGCTTGCTAGGGTAGTGGGTCTGCTCTGGAGGAAGCCCTGGGGCCAGGCTGGGAGGTTGGTTCAGTGGGTACCATGCTAAGTGGGCACCAGTTGCCAATACTGTTGTTATAAAAGGGGATGGAAGGATAGGTGACTTTGGAAACAGTGTGGAGGGTAGAAGACAAGGAAGAGCCCATTTGGGAGGGCTTAAGAGAGTCTGAGAGAGCCGGGCCCGGGGGCTCAGCCTGTAATCCCGCGCCTTTGGGAGGCTGAGGTGAGCGGATGGCCTGAGCCCACGGGCTCGAGACCCGCCTGGGCAGCGAGACCTCATCTCTACAATCAATCAAAAACCAGCCGGGCGTGGTAGCGCGCGCCTGTGATTCCGGCTCCTTGGAAGGCGGAGGCGGAAGGATCGCCAGAGCCCGGCAGGTCGAGGCTGTGGTGGCCGGGAGCAGCCACTGCACTCCAGTCTGGGCGA